ATTTCCTCTATGAGGAAGCAAAAAGGAACTAAAATTGATTGTAATGCTTGTTTTTTATTGTTCATAACATGTTTTACTTATGTTCAAATAAAAATCTTATGAAAGTTTGATTTAAACAATAAATATTATAGCATATTTTGATGATAACACAAAGTTCATTTTTTTTTCACGAATTTCTTTTTTTATTTCTCAAAATAAATACCTTTTTTTAAAGGGCCACTAAACTACTATTTTTTTCTTGTACTACATCAGTAGAAGACTCACCTAAATTTTTAGCCATTTTTATGAAAAAATAAAAAAATAATGAATTTTTTTGTAAAAACAGCCATTTTTTTCATATTTATTTTGCTATTTTAATTTTTTTATCATACATAATTTTAATTTTTGGCTATATAACCTACATAACTTTTAAAAGTAAGCTCTTAAGAAGTTCTAAAAAAATTTGGCAAGTTAAAATATTGAATAGCATATTTGTTGTAACAATTTTTGTCGCTGGGGTAGATTCCACCCCAATGTGGCAAGTACGTGATTCTACAGAAGTGTGGCAAGTAAGGGTTAACATGAAAATGATGAGCACAACTAAAAATATTAAAGGTTGGTTTTGTATTTAAAGCCATTAAAAAAATAGATATGTATGCTTATTTAGCTCTATAAGATATTTAGGGAAAATTTTAAAAGAATTATTTTTTGTGAATGTTTTTCAACATATTTACGTTTTATTTTGCACACATATGTAGTGAAATATTTACCTGTGACAGTTTGCCGGGTTTGTGACAGAGAACCACAACTTTATCAATATTGGGTATCCTGGCGACCACCTTCTCAACTTCCGTGAAATCGACACGGTGACCCCTAATTTTGATCTGCGAATCCGCAGATCGTCCTTCGTAAATTAACGTCTCTTTGACAATTTTGGCGTAATCACCCGTACGAAAGATTTTTGGATATTCTGCAGACATCAGTACATTTTTAAATGCGTAACAAAGTCGTAATTTTTTCTACTAAAGAAAACGCGACGTTTCGCTTGTAAGGGAAACCAAGATTACGAATAGGAGAATTTGTATGTCGCAGTGAATTCTTCAAGTTCGAAAGACGTAGAATTCGATATTCTTGTTGTATTATTTTACTTTCTCACCTGGATCAATGACATAAGGATTGTTCAAAAATTTATCTGTATCTTGTTCACATATGTAACCCGCGGCAAGATTTTTTCCAGCCACGATCAGCTCTCCGACTTCTCCCTCAGGGATCAGTCGCAAGTTCTTGTTTGCGAGATAAATTATGCAGTTGTCGATCGGCTTTCCTGCAAAGCGAGCCATGTAAATGTTGTTTAGCGTTTATTATTTATTAGTAACAGTAATCCACTGAAATAGACTTTTAGTTATTAGCTTAGAATTAATTACTAAATGTTGTTATGCTTTGTTATATTGTTATATTAATTATTTTATTACTTTCTTAACATTATTTTATTTTTTCAACTTTATTTTATTAGTTTTACCGATTGGCACTTTCTCCATCCCTTGCAATTGTTCCCGTTTGTTTAATAGGTAATATGTAACGTCACCCATGACTTCCGTGCTACCGTAGAAATTAGCTAATATCTTGTCCTTGTTGTGAAAAGTGGTAAAAAATTGATTGGCCAATGCAACCGACAAAGTTTCTCCGGAACAGACCCAGAGTTTCAAGCGATCGAGAACGTTGTCATTATCCTGTGCAAAGCAACGACAGAACGTATATTAAATCCAAGGTGTTGCAAAGCGTTGTACATTCTTATCGTGTAAATCGTAACCGTGTCTCAGGTGTCTCGATTTGCGATAACATTGTAAAGATAACGATAATGTAAGAATTTTCTAAGCCGCTTAGGATAACAAACATGAATTTTAATTATC